GGAATGCGAGGAGGCAGGTGGGGGATGGGGGTAGTGTGTATGGGTATTGGAGGAGGGTGTTGCGGGTTCGCAAGGGGTTTGGGGATGTGTTTGTTTATGGGGATTATGGGCTTGTTGATGATGGGGATGATGAGAGGGTGTTTGTTTATAGGAGGGGGTTGAGGGAGGGGGGGAAGATTGTGAGGGCGCTTGTTGTGATGAATTTTATGGTGGGGGAGGGGGTGGATTGGGTTGTTCCGCGGGAGGAGGAGGGGGTGAGGGAGGTGTTGGAGAGGGGGAGGGTGGTGGTTGGGAATTATGAGGGGAGGGATGTGGGGGATGGTGTTTGGGGGGGTGGGGGTGGGGATGGGAATGGTGTAGGTGGGAGGATAGGTGAGGTTGTGAGGTTGAGGCCGTTGGAGGCGTTTGTGGTGGTGTTGGAGGAGTAGATGCATCATGCAGCCAGCAAGCAATGCAATGCAACACCTGGAATTTTTCCCCGCCTGCATAGTTTTACTCGAAGCAGTCAACAGGCAAAATCCCATTGTTTCAAAGTTCCAAACAATAAAAGGGCAAGTTTCAAAACAAAACATAGTTTAATAATGCCATTGTTTCTGTGTTTCTGTTTCTATTCCTGTTTCAAACTCAACATGTTTAATAAAACAAAGGGAAAGCCACCCCACCACCCCCTTTCCACCAACCCCATCCATACCTCGAAGGCGAAAAAAAAAAAAAAAAACCTGACCAAATATGATCAGAAAATTACAAAACTTAGGGAAGCAAGAAAATAAATATAAAACTACATCAAAGTCTTACTAATCACTTCAAATCCCACTCCACATAAAAAAAAAAAGAATAGAGAGCGAGAAAAATCAACTGAATCTCAGTATATAATCAAAAGAGAAATAATAAAAAAGTCATTCATTCCAGACATTCATTCCAGCCTCTTCAAAGCTAACTAACTAACTAACATAAAAAAAAAAGGGAAACATACAGAAACGCAAGAATAAAGGGGACCTTGCCTGCCTAGGCACACATCACGCTTGACAAACAAACAGAACAGTACATCCATATTTTGACAATAAAAAGGGGGGAAGAATACATGACAGAGAAGGGTAAAAAAGAACAAAACTTGATACAACTGTCCCAACTAATATAAAAACAGGGAACCTGATAGATAGATACAATAATCTAATCATATATATCAGATTTTAGTTGGGGTGTTGCGAGAAAAGAAAAGGAAGAAGTTGGAAAAGTTTTCGGGTTGTTTATAGAACGCTTCGTTTATCGATATTGACCCGTTCGTTTCCTTCTTTTTTTCCACCCTCCTCCGATGAAAGAGTAATTTGCAAGTAAAATATGTATTTCGAAAAAAGAAACGGAAAAGGCAAAAACGAAGAACCCGTGTTTTCAACTTTTCCAGTTTTCCCCCATTGCATGTAATTTGTCGAAAATGTGTGTGGTTGATTTGACTCCCTTTATCTGACATTTCCCCGGTTTCCATGCAGAAAATAAAAAATATATATATAAAGAGGGGGTTCAAAGAATTTATGCAACAGCCATCTCGGCACCACGGGGCTTCAGCACGTTTTTGGCATATTCACCGCCGTAGTTGCCTATTGAACGGTTAGTATTGAAGAATCGAAGGTATGGCAAAGCGGACCACATACCAGGAGGTCCATAGTTGCAGACGGTGAAATGGTTGATGTCGTTGTTGCAGTTGTAGGTCGCACAGCCGACGGTTTTGGTGCTCTTCCAGACCATCTGGGTGAAGTGACCCCAGGACTTGAACTGGCTCATGTCGGGGTCGGACATGCCGTAGAAGGCAGAGAAGAGCTCAGCCTCGTCGTTGTACATCATGTTGGTGAGCAGCTTGCCGACGGCGTCGGGGCCGAAGCCGTAGCCAATGTTCTGGCCGTAGCTCTCGCCGCCAATGGAGCTATTGATAGGGGATTAGCAAAGTCTGACTAGCAAAGTGGGATTGGCTATACTGGAACTCACACGTCGTGCTCGAAGACGCATCGCTGAGCAAGAGTTTTGGCAGCGGCGGCGAGGCTGTCGGACCAGGTGAGGTCAGGGGCAGAGTGGTTGGCACGGTGGATGTTGTGGTGCTTGAGAACACGGGACTGATAGTCGTTCGCAGGCGGAGGAGCATAGGTGGGCTGAGGCTCAGGCTTAGGCGCAGGAGCATAGGTGGGCTCAGGCTTAGGCTGAGGCTTGGGCTTGTAGGTTTGGACTGGTTTGGTGGCCACGGGCGGCTTGCTGGGATGCTTGTGCTTCGTCTTGGTGACGACGACGGGAGGTTGGTAGCCACCCTGGTCGGCGGGGGGTTGCTCTGGGGCAGGAGTTGGGGCAGCGCCGCGGGTGACGTATTCGGTGACGGTGACGACGGTCAGGTCGGTAACGTAGGCACGCTTCATGACGGGGGTGGCCATTGCGCTGGCGGCGCAGAGGGCGCTGAGAAGGAGTGATCCTCGCATGGCTGATGGCTGAGTGGGTGATTGATTGATTTGCTTGTTGGCGATGGGAATCCGGGGGGGGATTCGATTCTCGGGGCTCAGGGGCAGAGAGGCAGCGAGAAACAGGCGCGCGATCACAGATCAAGAGCGAGATTGGGGGCTTCCACAGGAAGAGAGGCGGATCTGAGCCAGGCAGACGGGGCAAGGAGAGCAGGCGGGCGGAAAAGAGCGACAGAGACAGGCAGACGCGGACACTTTGAAGGAGTGAAAAGTGCACGGAGGAACAAGCCGAAGGAGAGACGGCGGGCGAGGAGAGCGAGAGTTGGGGATATAAGAGAGGGAGAGGGAGGAGAGGAGAGGAGACGAGACGAGGGAGACAAGATGGGGCAGACGAGGCAGGAAATGAGGGCCGGCCCAACTGGGGCTAGCGGGCTGGGCGGGAGCAGCCAGCACCTGGGCAGGACGACTGACAGTGAGTGGCTGAAACAGAACAGTCAGCAGTCAGCAGTCAGCAGTCAGTCAACAATCCCCGGGTGTCGCCCATCTAGCTGTGTATGCTATCCCCCGTCTATGTAGTTGTCCATCTCCTCTCCCCTCTACTCCCCTCTCTCCTCTCCTCTGCTCATCTTCCTCTGCTCAACTTCCTCTGCCCACGATACTCTCTCTATCTCTATCTCTCTTCTCAGGGGGATCGGCTGGCCTCGCCAATAGCAGCCGCTGGCGTGCCGTGGCGCCCTCGCTGGGGCCGCCTGCCCGTGCTGATTGGGCCCTGCGTGTTTAGTTTAATTGCGATGCCGCTGACGCCCTGGGCTACTTGGCGTGTTTTGTTTCTATCGCCAATTCCTCAATTCCGAATTCCTGTCACAGCACGCGCCCGCTCCCGGTGTCTGTTTTGTTCATTCCAGCCCTATCAATTCCTAGTTGTAACTGCTTGCTTCACCATCTCCGTCTCGTAGACTGTAGTTCATCTTGCACCACCTTCCCCGCACCACTCCCATGGATGCTGGATGCTCTGCCCAGGAACGGATCCGCACCCATGTTTCGCCGCAAAAACTCTGTTCCTGGCCCCCCCCGTCAAATCCCGCAGCCTTCAACAAGGGTCGTTCTGGGTTCTCCCGACTCTTGAAAGCCTCGACCCAACTGGCAACTGCCGCTGGAATTCGGCCTTTGTCCAGTGTCCACTCGCCTGCGAGCAAGTGGCCCAATCCTCGCCCGACTCGCCGCTAACATCGTCTCTGCCAAGTTTGGCCCAAGCTCAGCATTTGTCCCCTCCACTCCGCCGTCTCATCTCGATTCTCCAGCAAGTTGGTAGCCAGTGGCCCCGAAAATCTCGATTCCGGCCAGCTGGGTTCCTGAATTGAGTCCTGCCAACCTGGACAAGTTCCAAGTTGACTCCTGGATGTAGTTACCGCTGTGGATGATGGAACGGATCCATCCCCCCCACCCAAACGAACCCTGGATTGGACATGTCGTCTGGAATTCTCCAAGATCTTGAAACACAGATTATCTCCTGTTTCCCCCTCCAATCTTCATACATGACAACCTACTATTTTCTCGTGTCTCGCTTAACCGCCAACAACCACCAACAACAGCAGTAACCAACGCTCATGCAGCCAGCCTCCTCACCAACGTTAGATAGCATGGCAAACGCTCTTTCTTTCTTTTCTTCTCTTGCCTGACCGTTTTTATTTTGCCATGCCTGAACACTGAACACGTAGTTACGTAGCTCCGTAACCTCGCCCTGCAGCATGCCCCGCATGCATGCAGTTCTGCCTCTTTCGATATAAAGTTATCAGCGTGGCTCCAGCCATGATCTCTATCTAACTTTTAAGCCTACCTATGTATCCAAACTTTCTTTTATCTTCTTTTCTTTTTCCCTTTTGGTATCTCTCTAAAATAGTAATTACGTGCCTTCTTGCGTGATCATTGATGTAAGAGGTAGTGATATTTCTTTTTTTCTTGCTTTTTGCCGTTTCACAGTTTCAGCCACCCACCCACGCCTTTTCATACAGCAAAAAGCAGAGCATATCCAACCATTGCCATTGGCAACCAAACCTGCAGGCTGCAGACTGTTACCGTTTGATTCCGTTGGGTCCGTGGCGTTTTGAAACGTCATTATTTTCTTCCTTTTTTTCTTCTTCTTTTTTGTGACAACGGTATGGTTCACCCATCGATCGACGTTGTGGCTTTCTCATGGCAGGAAAGTTACTCCGTAGAAGAAGATCGATTTACATTCCTTTTTCTTGTTCCTTTTTTTTTTTTTTTATCAAAAAAATTAACGTGGCAAAATAGCTTTAACTTATTAAATCCATTCTGCAAAATAGGGCTTATATTTTGCTGGAAACAACATGACTACATAGTTCAGTTATAGTTACACGAAGATAAAACACTCCAAGGCAGTAAAGATTCCTATGTAGTAGCCTGTATAATTAAAGCTAATAAATTTTCAATTCTCCGGCAGTTTAATATTAACCAATGTATTGTTAGTTCAGACTCAATAACATGTGTTGTTGACCACTGTGTTATTATTCAAGTTTCCGATAACACAATCAATAACACATGGGGCGCTTGGTTTAGTGGTATAATATGTCATTCGCACTTGCAATTGCTTAGTAACACGCACACGCGGCGTACGCATGCACGCATTGACGGGGTCGCCGGTTCGATTCCGGCAGCGTCCATTTTTTTTTTTATTATTATTTTTTGGTTTTTTTTTTTGGGGGGTTACTTTACTTCCCTTCCCTCTCCATAGCAACTACTCCATAACTATCTATTACACCAATGTATTGCATTCACGGGCGCTTGGTTTAGGGGTATAACATATCACCCGCATAGTTACACTGACTTAGCATGTTATGATAAGGTCGCCGGTTCGATTCCGGCAGCGTCCATTGATTTTTTTTTTATTACGCCAATGAATGGTATTTCCCTCCGTTGAGAATTGCTAGCTAACTGCTATTTGAAGATAACGTGTATAAAGTACCACTGGCTAGCTTCCTTGCCAAAGCAAGCAAGCATGAGATATAAACACTCATTTATTGGAACTTTGCGTTGCTTTCTTTTTCTTTTAAAGACTGTATGTGGTGGGGTGGATGGCATAATGGTAAGCACTGTTCATGGAAGGCCTGGCAAGTAGGCACTGAGTGTTGAGGGCCACTCCTGCTGAGACACCATGGTTGCAGGTTCAAATCCTGCCCTTGCCAAATGGTATTACCATGGAGGAGGGTGACTGTGAGAAAAGAGGAGATACATGCTTGGCAGGACTAGGAGAGATGGAGAAAGGAAGTAAATAAGCTAAATACAGGGTCAGTTTGTAAATAGTCATATATTCCACACCAAACTATTGGTTCTTTGTGTCTAGGTGGATCAACTACTGTAACTGGGTTTTTGAGACTTTTCCTATATTAGTATGGTGCTGGTTGGCAGGAGATGGGTGACCATACAGGGTCTGCAAGGGGCCCCCCTGAGGCACTATATTCAAATGGGTGTAGTTGATTCCCCCCACCAAGGATGACATATACATGTATCTAGTTGAAGTACCACAGTCTGGCTATCATAGTCACTGACTGCCATATAGCTGAGAAAATATGAAGAATAATAATAATAATAATAATAATAATAATAATAATAAAGACTGTATGTATACTACCCCCCACAAACAAACGATTTCATATGATCTGGGGCATGGCGCTTACATAGTTTGGAGCAATATAGACGTATCTATTTGGTCTTGATGTGATCTCCTCCTCTGCTTGTTGCGCCAGCCCCCAGTCGATAAAGCTATGGGCCCTCATTGCAGCTCCATATGACCTCGAGGCTGGGTGATATTCAGCTGGTTCTCCGTTTGAAAGACGGATGGTAACAGAAAACCCGACACGAGCGGCTTTTGTTCATTGTCGGATGCATCCACACTGACTCCGTCCCCCAATTTGCACAAAGCATTGATTGACAGGAGCCAGGCCGCATTGGGCCCATGTGCAAATAGCGTGATCTTTTCCTGAGCGACCTCGCACATCTCGTAGAGTACTTTCGTCACATACCATGCCACTGGCGACATTCACATCAGCTCCATGTGTCGATCGAAGTGAGTGGTTGGATCAACATGTTGATAGGCATCTGCAGGGTAACAGTATTTCAAGAAGAACTCCAGACCGAAGTCTGGCTGAAACGACAGAATCTTCAATGCTGCTGCGCGGGTCTTCTTTGCCCCCACCCGTACTTGTGAGGGTGCGCCTCGCCAGAAGGTTTTATTTCCAGTTCGGACTTTATGTGTTGCATTCCGATGAATCTGACGGCAGACTGAGCGGGGGACTTGTAAGGATTAGTATGTATGTTATTGACGTGAAAGACCATCTTGTCTGCTCGACTTTTGCCAAAAACCTTTATATATCTCTTTCCCGCAAGTAAAGCCATCTGTGTTTGCATTTCCCTATCGAGTAGACGTGTCCGTTTTTCCCCTTGGCAATCGCTATCTCTCGATTCATCGGGGATGTCACGATTCCTTGAACTTAGAACCGTCTGGAAAGAACCGTGGGCGTCAATGCTGAATCCACCACTCGAAGCTTATAGTAACGCTGCTTGATTTCTTGAATCTGCGGGGCCTGCGTCTGCACTGTTCTCGAGCAATGGACGTACTGCTAGACACTACCCAATTAGGCACAGGAGTGTAGTTAGAAGATAAATGTAGGACCATGGACATTGCTGGTCTAAATAGTTTCCAGTATATATCTCAGGAAAGCATCGAGAGGAAAACCAGGGTAATATTGAAATACCCCAAGGCAGTTCCAGTGATATAATCAGTCTCTTCCAGATTGGGACTGTAACGCTCTGGTAGAGCTGTGCCTCATTCAACAGACATCATAGGGCTGTCCATGAGAATCATTTACCCAAGAGATGTCCAGTTTGTGTAGCTGCAGACTCTGTTTGTAGTCTCAACTAGTTGAAATGTAACAGACTGTCTAATCTACCATAGAATAGATCTTTCGGACAAGCGAGAATATTTGGAAGTCCCATTTAAATGCGACGACCGCGGTAGTCAATGACCATATTTAGCGGTTCGGACCAAGGTGCAGTCCTGGTTATCTTGGTGGTCAATAGCTGTTAGACCACAAACAAAAAGGTTCGCCTTGGTGTGCCGGTCACTTATTCCTGGCAATAGCACCCTGATTCGCTGTGTAGGATGGATCGATAAGATATTCAGGACTGCAAATTAGCCAGCCTCATGAAGAGCTCGAATTCCATACGGTCTTCCGGCCTCGGCCCACGAAGTATATGCCCCGCCATATCACCTCCAGGGGGAAAGCCATGTTCAAAACCCGGTTGTTCCCCTCCGGCCTTCATGTTGGACAGTACTGCTTGCCGAAAATGCCAGTCGAAAAGCACGTCGGGTGGCCGTTGGGGATGTGAAAGAAATTCCGGGGAAAGATAGGTTCCTGCAATGTCCTTGGTGTATCGCATGAAACAAACTATCTTGTAGTTATCCTATTGACACATTCAAATTCAGATACTATACACCAACAAACGCGAGGTTAGATATTGGGGGCATACCTTGCTGCATATAGAGAAGGGGTAGGTGTCAAAGAGCTGATGTAAATCAGCCCGCAGAAGCATGCCATTCTGGACGGAGTTTATATTATCACCGTCGGACCCTGGCCGGCCCAAAGCGCGGAATAAGCCAGGGGAAATACATGGGCAGCCTCAAAACCAGGCCACAGCCCGGCTTGGATAAGCAGTTCGTCCTGTGCCTCTTTGGCGATGACACAACCTTGATCCCGATGCCGTGCCGCATCAGTAAATGTAGTCTATATGGCAGTAGACGGCTCGCTGACCGCTCGAGGAAGAGCATCTTCATCAGTGAGTTCAATAGTAACTAGGGTAGAAGAATTAGCATTTCTAGGTAACTGCGAATGGTAAAGCAGAACTTACAATCGGCAACAATAATGAAATAATTTCCGCATTGAACCTGACTTCCATCCCTCAACAATCTATGGCCGTTCTTGTTCTGTAGGCGCCAGTAACCTCGCGGCGGGACAACGATGATTATTTCGATCATATCATGGTTTGTGATGCAGTTTGTCACATGTAGACCTTCGATCCGCCGAGTCTGAGCATCGCTATCGAAGATATGAAGATCATGGAGTGTAGCTCGAGGCCCAGGCAGTGGCAGCTCTGGAGTTGGGGAGAGGCGCCTCCCAGTCCGCTGGCTACCGCTGCGAGTAATAGGCATAGAGACGAGTTAGATGGAGTGTCTTGCAGAAGTTGTTATGTGGTAGTACTAGTAATCATCACAGCAAGAAGCCAGTGAATATTTAAAGTGAGTATTTCAAGTGAGGTGGGTGGTGAAGAGGATGCTCAAGCTTCCCGGATAACTTATAACTGATTTTCCAGTTCGCGGCCTGTGAATGTCTGGCTATCGCGGGCACTGGAATAGTTAGAGAAACTGGACAGACTGCTCTAAATAAAGCAGGTCTTTCATCTTCAAAATAAACCGCAACGGCTACTGAAATATTTGAGGGGGGAAATCTGGCAAGCTAGAGAGTTATCATCAGAGTTCAGTGGGTGTACTAGGGAGTTATGAGGGAGGCTAATGGTGTCCATACCGCCGGAATGTAGATCAAATAGTAGTAGCAGTAGTAGTAGTAGTAGTAGTAGTAGTAGTAGTAGTAGTAGTAGTAGTAGTAGTA